TTACATATGATCTCTCTCACTCCCATTTCTACAAGAGAGATCGCCAAATAAAACACCACCAACAAGCATTGTATAACTTATCTTAATACTTCCTTCATCTCCACTAGTCTAATTTTAAAGTAAGTTATAAGACATGCAGATCTTCTCATGCCTGTGGACAAAAGCTATGAATCTACTCTGGCTTTATCTATTGTCACATACCTTTAAGTGATAGTAACTGCTTAAACTATATTGAAATGTAATTTTTTTAAATAAAAGACTACTGTGCTTATAGTAATGCATTTATCCATCTAGTCTGTACTTTTACACTAACAAAACTTACCAAGGTCCTACCATTTTCCCTGTTACTAGAATACACCTAAGTATCACTGATCACCTACATCCATGAAGAGCCATTTGAATGATCATCCATTAAGTCTTTTACAGACTTGTTCATAGCCAGAACATCTTCTCTCCTGTTACTAAAAAGATTAAAGGCTTAAAAATGAATTTTGGGTATTTAAACTTATATCTCCCATTACACCAAAACTTAATACCACAGTGTCTGCTCTACTATAATTAAGACTGTGCACTTAGGCCTAAGAACTAGAACTGAAATGCAGAGAGTCAGAAACTGCAATCTCATAGAAGAAATTACCCTTATATATAATCAGAGTTGCAAGAACTTTTATTGCTCTGCCCAAGTAGCTTCATTTCCTGAATGTTCTATTTTAAAAAGTCTGTAGAGGTCTGTATCTTTATTAGCAGGTCTTTGATCCTTGACAATCAACTGAAAACTATCAAAATCCAAAATGGTTTTAAATGTCTCACAGGTATATTTACATGTACAAGTACTTTCTCAGTTTTATTCTTTCTTTATTAAGCAAGCAATACTGTCTGGAAAAGACACATGGTCCTGTCCTGCCTTTGCCACTGCAAAACTGCAAAAGAAACATTTTGTGGTTTTTTTCTGAATAAAATCAAGAGTACATCTGTGTTTCCTAAATGGGATCACAATTCATCTTTTTCTCATTGGATCTATGTTTGTTCTCTGACACCACAATGATCTCTAATGTGACAGCTTACTTTGAAGGATAACAATGGAAACAGACTCCTAAGAAACAGTCTGTTCTTCCTGAAAAAATACCAAGGAATGAGAAATTATAAAGTATTTTATAGCTTTCAAATGGAGAATACTATAGATTCTTAGAGCAGAGGGAAATACTATCACTCCACTTACATACACCCACAAAAAAAGCCTTGCATTAGTTCTACTGCAGATAATAGAACTTCATTATTTATTAGAGAACCAAATTATTCTCAAAAGACTATATATTTTCACAAATAAAAAGTTACTTACTCATTCTTCAATAATTGGTATATCTGTACTGTAAACATATATAAGCCCTGGCATTTGACAGTGGCAACTATTTTCTTCCCAGAGGACATATTCTCGCCCTACCATCTTTTATGCTTGGCACATAAGTATGCAAGACAAACCACAGTCAATGCTATTTTAGTTTTCTTTAAACTGTAGAATACTGGCATTTGATAAGAGGGAAGGACTAGGAGAGGACAACAGGGAGGGTATGTACCTGTGGATCACCTAGCTGGAAGCTCTGCACACTCCTGTAACAGCACAGTGCTTGGTGAAGGTATGCATAAACCTCCCGGTGGGTGTCATGAACGATAAAGCAGTGATGGTCCAGAAAAGCAATTCTAGCTCCAAAGATTAAAATTGGCTCCAACCTAGCAACCCCATTACATTCTCTTCCTGTGGCTCACAATCCATTTGATCTTCATAGGGAGAGGGGCACTTTTCTGGATCTGCCAGATATCAGCAGAGTCAGTCTTAGGTCCTACATGAAAGGTCAGACCCTATCAATGTGAGATGAAAGAGCCTCTTCAACAGAGGGTGGGAAGGACTACTTCAATCCCCTAAGGTTTGAGGGGAAAACACAGCAACAGGTATGCTTATTTTCTGATTAAGGGTAATTCTGAAATCACTTTGAGAAATCATTCCGCATGGATCCATAAGGACACCTTCACCTGAGAGAAGGTCATGAAAGGAAGAAATCCACCTTACCCTGACTTAGCTACTGCCCTGTTTCCCTGATGGAAGCAACTGCAATCTAGTTTTTGCAAAAAGACAGAATAGCAATCAGGACTCTATGCCTCAAAGAATGGTTCAAAAAGCATTTGGAGAACCGAGCTCAAATTTTAGTTTGGAACTGAATCCACGACACTGAATTCATACAAAAGAAAGTATCAGTTCTCAGGCTAGGTGTAGACTCCTGCCAGTGCAAGCTTCCTGGGTCAACTACTTCCTGGCTCCTAGACAGCAACCTCAGGCTACCCCTGAGTGTTACACAGTACGCTGTCCTAGTGTCCACTACCACCAGCTAACAAGTACATGGGAAAATGAACCAGAGGGATGCAGGATCCATATATTGCTAACTTCACCCTTTTAAATAAGGATGTGTGGATAAAGGTGTTGGGTCTTCTTACGCCGCAGCAGTTACCTGTCTAGGTTGCTTGCTCTAAACCCTTTATCTCTGAGGTAAAAGGCAATGAGTTCTGTGGTTTCCAGGGTTAATGAAGAGTCAGTTTCCTTCAAGATAGATTTGTGCAGGGTAGGTTTCCAAAAATACTCATAATGAGAGGTAAAGAAGAGGAGTGGAACTGCTAGAGAACAGAAAGGCAAACTGGATCAAATAATTTATGCTAAGTGTCTAAAACACAGAATGATCACTTGCGAAGTTCAACGGGAGAGAGCTAACATGTTTCCAAAAGCGAGAGATGAAGCAGCACATGAAAGCAACTGAATGGGATATTTGCACCCTTTGAGAATGTTTTCAAGACTGCTGACAAGAAGACAATGAGGGGGTAAGAGCTGGCAATGACACCTGTAGTCTATGCCAGTGATGAACAGTATCATCCCTTGTGTTCTTCTTGTTGCTGGAACAGATTCTGGGTGTAGAACACTAGAAAAGTGGCCACTGTACCAAGCCAAACAGGTGGATCTACAACTTCTTTCAAGTAGCCATAAAAGATTCAAAGCAGGCTTAGAATAAGCCTGGCATCCTTAAGTGTAGATAACTGCTGAGTGTCCTTGCACTAAGCGCAAAGGAGATGTCAGAAATTGCCAAACAGGAGAGCAACAACCTGAATCCAAGTCTTCCTTGGAATCTATGGGAAGGGATTCTGCAAAGCAGATCAGCTATCAGTGAGTCTGTCTTCACAGCTAGAGCAGCTGGTGACTCAGCAAACAACTGAAATGAAAATACTTAGCCAACCAAAATTTTTCAGGTACTTCAAACCTGCAGTGTGAGAGCATGCCTGCTCAGATGTCTCTTCACTGCTGAAAGATCAAGGAAGATGGAACCAGGTGGATGAAGAGAAAGTTAGTGGCTCCTAAGAATACTGATGTTTCCTTTACAGTTGAAGAAAAGTAATGTATCAAAAGATCTTGCTGTGATCCAAAATGTTTTCATTAACTCTACATACCATTTCAACTTATAACCAACTATTAGCAGTTTCATTTTCCTCCACAAGTGCAAATTGGAGGAAACTTCAAATTTGCTTTAAGAGATTTAGAAAGACTCGAACCTGCAAACCTGACCATTCTAATATCTCCCTTTCCAGCCAGCAGTATCCAGAAGGTGATGTGTACCACTTTCCTTGACATCCCTTAATTGTAAGGTTCAAAATAAAAAAATGAAAGGCAGTCTAAACTTGCTTGTTGAAATAGGCTCCAGGACTGGTTGCTGCTACTCAGGATTCAATACTCCTGAAAATAAGAGGGTAAAGAGTTATGCTGAATCAGTGCCTCCTCACCTCCTCCCTTTAAATTAAGGCACATTCTCCTTCAAAGACAGTATGTAATAGAGACTTTCTGGTGGTGCTGAGTTGCTGCAAGAGGTGGGGAATCCCTTGAAGAATCGTTCTTAAAACAAATGTTGGGACTGAAGGGCCTTGTAAAGCCCTTTGGTTGACTAGAAAGCTGCCTCAGTATCAGGTGTGTACTATGTCCATTAGCAAACTTGAATGCTGACAAGAACGGAAATAAGGGCTAACCCAGCACCCACAGAACCCTTGGTGTTAAGTAAAAAAATAATGCTGTCTTTCATATCCCCACTGGAGTTGTGTTCAGCAACCCAGGGAAAAGGCAGAACCCACAATCAGTACTGTTGACCGAAGCCAGACAGGTCAAAACCACAATTTTGAGAGTGTTTCCCTTGCTTTTTTTTTCAGTAGGCATCAGTGGCAGAGCTGTCAGCACTACTAGTGGAACACATCATTTGGGCAACTTGAGCTTCCACAACCGATTCTCAAGTGGTCAAACCAGAGCTGTGAAGGGAACCAAAACAATGTCCTCGTGTCCATCTTTTCATCAGTTCTCAAGAAGTGGGATGTTTGGCACTCTGAGTGCTAGCTAATGGTAAACATGGGGTGGCATACTCTGTGATGCCACTTCTGCTTACATACTAGGAAACAGCTAAGTTTTGGTGTCCACCTCAACCAGTTCTGAGGTTGATACACTCAACTTTTTTTAGCGGAAATATCTAAAATTTCAACTTCCTCTCCCTGAAACTGGGGAGTTCAGATAAAACTCAGCAAACTCAGTCCATTCCTATTCCCCCTCGCCTCCACTGAGGCTATATAAATACTAGTTATACAGTTCAGCTAAGCAGTTCCAAGTGACAGACAGATGGAAGATTATTTTTGAAGAAATTGTCAAAAGATAAAAACTTAACAGAGAAAGGCAAACATGAGAAGAAAAATGCACGTTAGAGGCCTTTTAAAACACTAAGCAGCGCAGCATCAATATACACACAATGACCACGAAGAATAGTAGCACATACAATTCTGAGTAACAACTGCATAGTATTAATCAGGCAGACAGACTGTCAGTTCTTTACTACAATGAACAGTTTTCAGCATACAAACATCACAGCCTAAAATTAAATTTAAAATAATCATTTTATAATTTATACTTTATTACGAGAATACATTCTAAATCATACCTCAGGTGCCAGGTATTCTGGAGTACCACAGAATGTTTTCATAGTTGCTGCGTCTGTGATTCCTTCTTTGCAGAGTCCAAAATCTGTAATTTTTATGTGTCCATCTTTATCCAACATTAGATTTTCTAACTGTGTGTTGGGGAAAAAAATGTTCCCTTAGTATTTCTTAACAGGCTGATGTATTACATCAATTTTGTAAAAAAAAGATACAGAGTTATTGCTTGCAATAGAATAACTTGTTTGCAATTTAAAAGAAAAATTTCAGCATCTATTATATTACAGCATTTACCAGCGTTCACTGTTATGCAATTTAAATAATTAGTAATACTTTAATACAGTTTACAATAGTAAATCCCAGGTCAGTCAAAGTGTGACTGTTCATTCTGAAGTTTTATAAATTTGGTGCACCTTCTGTAGAATGAAAGCAAAATACTTTTCTAAATATTCCCAAGATATAATCAAGTAATTCAAGGTCTTGCCTGTCATTTGGTAAGACTTCATAGGCTTCCTTTCCTGTAATATGGCCCTTATTTATCAAGATGCATTTTACTTACTGTACCATCATAAAACAGTTAGTATATATCTGTAAATCCTCAAAATGCCTGCATCTTCCACAACCTTTTCACTAACAGACAAAAGTGGGTAGACAGGCTACTGCTAAAAACAAAACCCTGAGGTAAACTCCTCCTTGTATACTTGCAAAGGACACTGTTCTTGAATTGTGTATGTGTACCTCTGCATGCTGTGCATTGCTTTTTAAATACATGACTCTTGCTTTGAGATGTGAAAACAGAACATGGCCTATTACAAAGTATTTAAAGAACAGGAATAAAAACTACTGCAGCATTTACTGTGGACTATCTCAAAAGCATGGCTAACATCACTTTCCCAAAAGCTTTTTCTTAGCAATCCTTTAAATACAGATAAAACCAAAACCAAGTAAAACATACTTCTGAACAGCTTTTCTCAACAGAAAAAGGGTGTCTTTTCTAATTATAAGGTGTGTAGTGGAAATACCAACAAAGAACAAACATAGCCTTGTCTTCCTACGCCTGCATAAAGCCTGAAATATAATTCAAAGGTATATATTTCCTGTTGAATCTTAAGTGTTCTACAAAGAAGATGCAAAGTAGATGACACCAGCAATAGACTAATGACGTCAAATTCCTCTTTTCCTGTTATTCAGAATGTTAATAAAAAATCATTACCTATCATTCCTTGACCAGAAAATTCCATATTTTTCCAAGATGTCACAGCTTTTCATGTTATTACAGCAGATTCTGCTACAAACAGGTAACCCACTAGTGCACGTGCAGAATGAGAAAGCACAGTTTCCCATACAAGAAATTAAAGGCTTGTCACAGAAATAAAATAGTCTCATCGTGGAATTTAGAGGTTCCTCCTACATATGTTAGAAAATGCTCCTGTTGAAAGTAGAGGTTATTTTCCATTGAACGTAGTTACACTGTGTCACACAGTATGTGGAGCTTTCAGGCAACAGAGGATACACAACTGTATACATCAGCAAATCTAAGACAAACTACATTCCAGTATTATGAATCTTTCTCAAGATACAAAAGACAAAATAATTTTTAAATTATAGCTGGAATTCTTTTTCTACTGAAGCATTCTGAATTGTTTTAAATGCTTTCAAATCATACAAGAACATAACTCTTTAGTGAGATAAACAGAATGCAATCACATTGTCCCAATTCCCTATTTCCCTTGTTTGGGGACACTGAGAATTATATTTGAGATTTGTGTTTAAGTTATAAGTAATAGAGAAAAAAAAAAAAAGTTTAAATCTTCTTCAAGTGTTATTACTAAAATACGCTGTTTCTTTTTGAATCAAGTTAAAGTATCCATCTATAGGTTACTGTATCATATGGTTTCCTTCAGCACACACAGAGCTTTAAACTGAACTCAGATTTTTTTTTCCCCATTAACTCTGAATCGTGCAACTTTATAATTACTTTGTGTTTGTCCCAGTAGTCTCTGCAAAAACAAAAATTTGATTACTTTTTTTTTCTTTTTTTTTTTTACCTTGAGATCACGATACACAATCTTCCCAGAATGCAGATAGTCCAGGGCAGAGACAATTTCTGCACCATAGAAGCGTGTGCGGTCCTCTGAGAACACCCGCTCTCTCGACAAATGGAAAAACAGCTGCAGGGTAAACAGCAGGGACAGGATTGTAATAATTACTGATTTAGTGGGGGAAATTAACACAAACATAAAACACCTCTCATCACCATATTGTGATGATAGATAGTGTACTCTCAGTGGACACTCAGCACTCTTAGACAGCAGCTGGCTTATCTTTTCCGGGTTTCCAAAGGGAGAAAGCGAGCTGTTAAATCAGCGTTTTAATCAATATACCAATCTTGTTTAAGGCATTCTGCTTGCTACTCATTTAACCTTCAGTTACCAGAGGAAAAAAAAAAAAAAAGTATTCAGCAGCATAATTCTGCACTTCTCCTTCCACCACTTCCTCAGATTTCTATTTTAAGTCACTGAGAAATACCATTAAAATACCCAGATTCTGGTTCTGCCTTAACTTTTTCAGTAATTTAGTAAGTTTTCTTTGAAATGAAAAAAAAGTCTAGTTCTTCAGTAGATTTTGACTGAACAGATAAACTGGCATTTTACAAAACCAGCACATTCATACTGACAGCAATATTACTAGAAAAAGCAAACCAACAGCAGCTTAGGGCTTATAAAAATGAATCTATGCATTTAGTGCATTTCATTGCTACAACAAGAACATTAATTTGGGGGTTATGTCTCTTCTTTAATACTTTATAAGTACCAGTACTTTGCAGACAGGTTTTCAGCTGAAGTATTTCAGTAAAAAATACTAGTCATTACATATTGCCAGTAAGTAACTTCAGCTGCAATGAAAAAGCATATGGTGATGTTCTGGAAGGCTGTCACCATCTTACTGGATAAAACATCACCCTCAGAACCTGGACCAAAAACTTAAAAAAGCAGAATCTGGCTATTTAATTCAAATGCTCTCCAAAATGGCTAGTTTTATTTACTGTGCTAAGAAAGCTTGGTAAAGTCCTTAAAGAAAGTTTAGTGACTATGTTTCTGTCACTTTCTGCTTAAGACCAAACTGTCCGTCTGCCTGACTCCTTCAAGTTACGATGTTTTTGGTTTTACCACAAGAGCCAACAATCAACAAAACAGAAATACAGAAAATGTGATCATTTACAAATTAATTCTAGACAAGGAAATCCACAACAACAATGTGGGTTTTTTTTTATTTTCACTGCTAAACATATCAAGTAGATGAGAATTCCAAAATGGCAGGGCTGGTACAAAAAAACCCCACAAAACCAACCAACCAAAAACTCAATAATGTGCTTAATTGCGACATCCTACTTTACACCTGCAGGAAATCCACACTGCTCACATGGCACGGAGTAGTGTAAGAATTGCTGCAGCTATTTTCAGTGCATGGGCTTTTCAAAATGTAATTAAAACATCAATCCTATAAAGAACTAGAAGTCAATTTCTTTCCTGACAGTTGCGCTCCAAAAAATGTTTATTACTTTCTTCTGAACCTAAACAAACTTCCCACTAAACTGAGCCTTTTGGCGGCATATATTTGTACAAGAGGCTTCACAGGAAACAGAAACCGTACTACAATTTAAAGCGAGTATTTCATTTATGTTCACTGTATCTGCATTCCCCTTTCAACTTCTTTTTGAATTCTCAAGACATCTTGTATAAAAATGGAATACCTGCACAACAAGGAGGATCATTATTTCGTAGGTATTCCAATTGCTCCTGCTGCTGTTTCCCCATTTACGCACCAATCCCTGGTGGTGACACCAGCCATCCCTGTAGGAACCTGGACTCTGTACTGATGACTGCTTAATTGCCAACGTAAACAGAAGATCCATACAGACTAAGCAACTAAGTCTGCCCTTATGAAGTGCCTCACATATTATAAAATTGGGAAAAGAATAAAGTTGTTTCTCAATTTGTTTGGTCTTTTCCACACATTTTTGCAAGATTTAAATAGGAAACAAACAACACTAAGTAGATCTTCATCCAAATAAAGCAAAATAAAAAAATTTATGTAATTTATGCATTTATGTCTGTTTTGCGGTCTCTGTTATAAATAATGAGCTAATGTCACTCATTTTTAAGAGTTTTATTTGTTTTGATGGACTTGCAGTAATTCAAAATAAAGACCAACTTCCAGATCACTTTTTAATGTGTACACATAGTAAACACATTCCAAAAACTTATAATACAACCTCCAGTTAGCCCTACATTCATTTCTATGCAAAAGGACTACTGCAATTTTCTATACGAAAGAGACTAATCCAGTAGCTGAGCAGCAAAGTCTTAGTAAATTCTAAAACCTGAGGATACTTGTCAGCAACAGATGTATTAGTTTCCATTTAAAAAGTGTCCCAATTTGAATCTGAGAGTTGATAACCTGACAAGTTAACATAACAAAAATTAATTAGTGTTTATTTCCAACAAAATATTTTTTATACTTATTCAAAATATTAACTTCAAAGTAAAATGACCAGCTAGAAACAACTAGCAACAGTTCTGTGTTTGCCAAAGAGACTGCAAGTTCACAAGTCAGTTACATATGACACTACAGTCACTCTTCATAAGTAGTCTTCATATTAATATAGCACCTAGCAGAGCTGTCATCAAACAATACATGCTAGTTTTGAATGAAGAATGTACATTTAGATATACAAATGTATATTAAAAGTGAATACACTCAGATATATGCTAAAGATGCTAAAGCAAACTTAAAAATTATAGTAGAAAAATCTAATTGAGCAAGACTACAGCATTATTTTCAGCTAATTATTTAGTCGGTTCACTATTTTGGAATAATTATGCCACCAGGCTCTATTTACAATTGTAAGAACATGAAGATTAGACTTATTAAGTCAGAGAAGGAAAAGAAGAAAACTGATGGAAGGTTATGAAAAAAGCTTCCAACATTTGCACTATTTATTGATTTACAGTTTTTAAATAAGTGCTATAAAGCCATTGGAATTGCAATAGAAATAGCTTTGGCACAAAGAAAGTCATTTTGCACATAACATTTTTGATGGCATACATGAGGGTGCTATAGTTACAGTGAGGACTGGAGCTATAAATTTCCTGGTATGTCTTTATTTAAAAACTGAACAACAACGTTGCCATGGGGTTTTTTCCTAATAAAGAATTTTAATGGAAAAATTTTAACAAATAAAAACAAAGATCAAACATAGAAGTATATTCAACTGCAGACCCAAGCATGCCAAATGTATAAAAGACACAAACTTGTATCAATCCATATGTTAAATTTCTACACATGCTAGTGACCTATTTGGCATGTCGAAAGTTGCACGACTGTCTCTTGCTGTTGTGCATTTGTTTGCTTAGCTCTGCACTTAAACGCTTTTTACCTTTGACAGCTGATTTGACTCTTTTGCAAAGCATTTGCAGTAGCAGCATTGAAATTTTGAATTATATGTTTATTGTTTCAAACTTTATACTGCTTCTAGGCACATTCTATACCCAAAGAAATATAGAACCCTTATTTTGGACTATCATAATTTTAGGTTAAGGAACATTTTCTCATTTACTTAGAGTTTAGGAAAACAAAACAGGACACAATCAAGATAAAAATGACAAAGCTTACAACAATATTCAGTTATTTTTCACTAGGTAGGTTGTAAAACCTCTGTCTTTTTTTCTAGACAGTAATAGCACTTGTTCAATTACAACAAACAATTTAGTTCTCTCTCATGTAATGAACTGAAGTAAGAGTTGTGAAAAAAAATGCCAAGCAGAAAAGAGGTTCAGAATTCTGGTGTGGAGAAACCATCTGAACAAATTTTAGAGTCTAATTTTATTATACAGATAATTACCAATTAAGTTTGTTACACAGTACAGAATTTAAAATTATCCTGAAAGTGCAAAGCAAAGAAGTTAATCAACTTATTAGTCAGCTTGATTCAGCTGGGTACTCTGCAGAGTAATGTATGTAATAGATTTCATTCCTGAAGCTTTTTAACCTTTAAAGCAAAATACTGGAAATAAAAAAAGGGAAACACAATCCAAAAGTATTCCCCAACAATAAAAAGCCATTCTTAAAATATCATTTTTTATACCACAATTTATACCATTCTGTGTGGCCTGGGAGTTGGGGGAACACTGTAATGTACTACTAACATACTGCAATCACACAGTACTCAAAATTATATGGTTACAAAAGGAAGAATAGGTAAATCAATACCTGCAGGAAAACCATCAATACAGACTTACACCTTTTTTTCAAAATGTTCATAGGACAAGGACAGCAAAAAATGTACAAAAACTAAGGGGTTTTCTTTTCTTTAAAGTAGGCCTGTATTTGTCTGTAAGTACTGATAGTTTTATTTATTTAAAAAAATATTTACATGAATATTCTGCATATTGAACCAAAATAAAGAACACCATTTATCATACAATACTGTTCTTTTTTTTGTCACACACATACAATATGCCATTTCAAAGTCTTGATAATGGTATTTGGTCATCTCAACTAAGCCAGATTATTTTTTTTTTTCTAAAATCAAATTTTAATGTCTTAATGCTACTTTAATATAATTCCTTCAATATCAGAAAGCTATTGAGAAGTAATCACAATGCATCCTTTTAGCTCTATACTGCAACATAGTTCGTGATCAATAGCCACTGCTAAACATTTCATCCACTGAGCTAAACAGCAACACTAAAAAAAGAAAAAGTCAAGCTTTCAGCCCACAACAAAGGTTTCAAGATTGGGCCCTTAAGCAGCAGAAAATTAACTGTAAAAGTTGCCAGTATAATAAAAATGTATCCAATATTTCCATCTGAATAACTTGCTTGAAAAAATCCTCTAAAGTTTTGCTCTAATACATTTAGCTACAGAATATGTTGTGGGTTGGTTTTTGTTTGTTGTTTTGGGGTTTTTTTTAAGGAAGTCAAAAGAAAATTTGATATGGTAATACTTCATACATTGTAAAAAAGCACACACACACAGACCAGTAAAACTGATGCAGTTATATTTTCATTATAACGTGTTCCGTAATTAACTAAGCCTAACTAAATTGAAGTTACATAGGCAAGACAAGGCAAAGATAAACTGCTACTGTTGTGATGGGATATTAAATTAAACATGGATCTATATTTTTAACAGGCATAGAGGATTCCTGTTTAGAATAATTATAACACAATTTCTTCTTCTCCAAAATGAAATTCACTGACCCTTTCCATGACTGTTTTCCTTCCTAACCATGGGAAGAAGAACTGAAGACTCCTACTATAGACTACACTTTCCATTACTGTAGCAGGGCAGAAGCCTAAACTGTGGCATCTTCTTGCTTTCACCTGGGTGAGAGTCAAGAATACGGATAGAAATTTCTTTAATCTAAAGGAATTTTAAACAGAAACACACTGAAAGTAGTACAGCTCTGGAGAGAATCAAAAGCAAAATGCCAGTTTTCCACTGGAAGGATATAATTAAAAGATGAGTTTTCAACACCTTCGACAGTGAGAAACCATTGTAAGGAAATTAAACTTGCTTGGAACACAGAGAGAACAGTAGAGGGAAGCAGCAAGAGAGAAAAGTCTGTGTACCATACAGGAGATATGCTTACAAACAGCTAAAATACTGGCTAAACTTTGTGCAACTTACTTTCATTAGTCCTGAGTTAATAATAAGGCTATTTTTACATATATGAAGTCCTGTGTATGACTTAGCAGACAATGACTAAAGTCTGAAATTCACAGGAAGATTTGGTAAGATCAAAAGATTTTCCTATTAAAAAGGAGTTTGTCCAACTTGCTATTCCAGATCTCTAGTCAAAGAAAAGCACATAAGCAAATCAAGAGAGTTTCTTCAAAGAAAACTGCCTACTCTGAAAGGCTATTATTTCCCACTGTGGCAAAAATTTATGGTCAGCTTCACTGAGTTAGGTAACCATCAGCAAAAAACATGAGCAACACTGACGAACAAGAGCATCATACCTGCAAAAAAGTGACCCACTCTTGACAAAGTACATTGCAATCATTCAAATCTCACTAAGCGACAGCAGGCTGCCATCAAGAAACCCATGACACAAGATGTTTGCAGCAGTTGCCACAAAGGTGCACCTCCCAGTGCAGAGGAATGCAAAATACAAGCCTGATCAAAAGTGTCAGAGTATCCTCAGTCATAAGAAAGGAGTCAGAAACATGCTCTGTGGTCTCTGCTCTACATTAAAATAGGACAGAAAGGTATTTTTCAAAAAGAGGATTATCTAAATGACAGGCTGATTTTAAAAACATATCTTCAAAACACATCCTCTGACATTACAGAAATGCAGTAAGGTCTTAGAGAAAACTACGATGAATTAGCTAGTTTATAAGGCATCACTTTTAAAACTCATTGTAGATAGCACTGACTTAGTACTGATGACATAAGTTCAACGTCAAATAAGCCAGCTGAGTGTCCAAGAGAAGGCCGTTATCCCATTTCTGCTGAGGCAGATTTTTGTGTCTAGTTTAACTAGCCAAAATCATTCAACACCTGTGATGTCCAGAACAGGGTTTATACATATTGTGTTAAAAAAGCCATCCTCCCATCTGAGAGCCCTATAGCACCATGTTAAGCCATGGCTGGTAAAGGATGGTCATGGATGAGTTTGGATGTACATCTGCCTCAGACTGGGCCCAGAAATCGCCAGAGCAATGAAAGCAAGACAGGCACTCTGGGGGTGCTCAAGCATTAGGATTAGAGTTGAAGATAGATTTACTGTAAGAGAACATAGTAAAAGGATAATGCAAAACATGGTATCATGCTGCTACAATTCCTGAAGGAAGAAATAGTTTTCTGATAAAAAAGCCAGTGGCAACACTCAGTCCTTTAATGCTATTATGTAGCATACAGTAGAAAAAATAAGGAAAACTCCCTAGTTCACACTGCAGTGAGATACAGTCTGAATAGCAAACAGCACCTAAAAGGTAGATAAAAGCCCTCTTCTTAGCCTGTAATTCTCTTTAATTCCATTTGATGGGTATAGTTTTTGATATTCTTCAGTAAACAGCTGGAGGACAGCAAAGACTAATGACACCATAACAAGTTTAGCGCTTAAGCTGAAATTTCCTGAGTACACAGCAAGTGAAGGGGACACAAGTAATGAAAAATATGAATACTCCACTCTATTCTCATAGGTATTTGCAATGGCTATAGCAAAGAAGAGAGCACATATTTCACGTTAGGACAAAAGCAAGACTATTAAACACTATTTTTGCTTTTTTGCACTAGGTTATGACAGTTTCATGCCAGAACATGCTATAATATTCTTGAAGAAAAAACAATAAGCAAGCTAATTGTAACTATTTCTCTACCATTAAGCTATCTTTCAAGATACAACACTTCAATTTTTCAAGAAAAGGAACTACTTTTGACAGCATAGTTATTAAAATACATCTACATTTTTTTGAACAGAACAATTTTAATTTTAAAAAACCCTTCAAAGATACTAAAAAGCAAAAAAGGCAACAAAAATTATATCCTTTAAAGTGTTATCCAATAACAGCAATACCATTACAAGTGCAGAACATCTTTTTTAAACTTACCTCTCCTCCGTTAACATACTCCATCACAAAACACAAACGATCCTTTGTCTGGAAGGAATATTTCAAGGACTTGCAAAGAAAACAGCAAAACCATGCCAATTATCATCTTGTATTAACCCACTTTCTTGCACTTAAACGGTAACAAAATTTAATTTTATCCTCTTAAGCAGACAATTCTCATTCAGTGAGAACTTTCAGAGTAATTAAAAGTGTAACTTCTTATCTGGAGCTTGAGATGAATTAACATAAAAACTTTCATCTCTTCCCTCATCTCTGCCATGTGGCCATTGATGGGAAAACATTGTGCTTACTTTAATCAAATACTAAATAGTTAGTAAAACACACCATTTTCTACTGCATTTCTTACTGTCATACATGGTTCCAGCTATTCTCACTCATCATATTTTATGATGTCCATTTCCACAATGCCCATGAACAGAGATTACTGTATTTTTTTTAAATTCTTCGAAATAAAATCTTAAAAATTAAATGAACACCTCCTGGTTGCTTTCATTTCACTATTTTCACATACTATGCAATGTTAAAAACAGAGTGCCAAATGAACTATTTATTTATTTATTATGTATAATTTTAAAATTGCAACAAAAGTTGTTATCATAATTAAAATTTTTCACTTATCAATGTTGATTTGATTTTGCTTGGAAAAACGATATCAAAGAAAATCTAGAGATGAAGGCTTGGCTTAAAAGAAACAAAATGCAATAGAATTACAGTGATATTGTTGCACAATCTGATTGGAATTACACCTACTCCTGCTTACCTTTACACTCTCATTTAAGCAACTTTTGGAGATCTCATTTCTCTTGACTGAATTTCAAAGATTATTTTGGCCAAGCAACATAAATGTCATCCTGTGCTTTCTAAAGAGTTTGATTATGATTTTCCAAATAGGAAATCTTCCATGTTATAATTTGATATTTTAATGCAAAAAAGAAAATAATCTCCCCCTATCTTAAAATACGTTAATTATCTTTTGAAATCAATGAAAGATTTTCTAATATATTCTCAAAGAAGAGGAATCAGAATGACTTCTACAGAATAAAGTCAGCTGTAAAATTAGAACTATTAATCATAACTTGCCATGAATCGCAAAATTTTCATCATCTTTTCAATACTTTACTTCTATTAAATATTAACAATATGAAGATAAAAATATTGAAGCAGTGGTGTTTGAGTTTTGTTGCTCCATGAGCTACTTACATTGAACAAATTTTTTTAAATCATTTTATTTCATTTTTAATTAAGTTTTCCTGGTAAAAATCACTTGACACTATGTGAAATCAGTAACTTTTATTTTCAAATCATTCATATACAAAAAATCACAAAAATTGCACAACAGTTACATTCTACAATTAAATTTGTTTTCAGTGCAGTTAAGTTTCACAATATTATTAGAAACTAATTTGTAAATTATGTTCATAATTAAATACTCATCATGCTGAAAATTACATGTTAATGTACTTAAAACTAATTCCTAATACTTACTGTTAAAAAAGGGTGTCTGGTGTTTTTCAATACCCTGCTTTCTGTAAGCGTATGAGCCACTTCATCCTGAGAAATAAAGAGTAGAAGAAATATGTCTGAAACAAGAGATCAAATTGTTATTTAACTAATTATGGGGGAAAGGTAGACAGGTCCAAAAAGAGAAAGCTACTGTACAGTTTTGGAAAATGAACAAGCCTGAAAGAAACATGAAAAAAAATGTCACATTTCTTAAGAAAATATTTTAAAGTAAATTTAAGTTTGGCAAAATACAATTTAATGTATTTTTAATTATTTTTATTATTTTCTTGCTTTAAAATGAAGTCTTAAAACTTTATATCCAGTGCAAGGAAGGAAGAAATTATAATATTGGATTTGATAGTTCAAAAACATAGTCATCCCAACTTCACAGTTCTGGTATGAATGATCTGAACAACATCCCTTCAGAGAGACCGAATCAGTTGGCAAGATACATACGCAGGCAGTAACTGACAGGCAACAACTTGCTTGGTCTGGTGTTTGTTTCGTTTTTCTTTAAAACCCTGTAGCTGTAGGAAACCCCTGGGCTGTCCCAAGCAGCCAGGCCAGCAGCGCTCCCCGCCCCGGGCCCAACTCCTTCCCTGAGGGTGCAGCCCTGGCCCACAGGAGGCGGGAGACCCCCACATAACAACCCCTGCCCGGGGCCCGACTCCTTCCCTGAGGGTGCAGCCCTGGCCCACAGGAGGCGGGAGACCCCCACATAACAACCCCTGCCCGGGGCCCGACTCCTTCCCTGAGGGGGCAGCCCCCCCCCACAGGAGGCGGGAGACCCCCACATAACA